ATCTATCTATCTATCTATCTATCTATGTATTTATCTATCTATCCATCCATCTATCTATCTATGTATGTATGTATTTATCTATCTATCTATCTATCTATCTAAATACACATGCAGATAAAGCGAAATCTAGCAGTCAACAATGGCTGAACATGCTCGTTGGTTGGTATTAGGCCCTGGTGCCAAGTTTAATGAGTGCGAGACCTCACCCGACCTGGGTATGATCAAAGCAGCTGTGCGTACATGAGGAAGCACTGGTGGTACTCGGGTAGGTTTGGCTCATGACGACTTGGACAGCTGATTAGGCATGCCCACTCCTGCCTGAAAGCGGCTGCGACCGATTGGCCAGAAAGCAGATGCCCAAATTCTATAGGCATGCATACTTGTGCCAAATGGGGTGTAAATGATGCTGGTAGATGCAGAGGTTTCGTCGTCACAGTCTTGTGTGAGGCAGGTGTCAACCCTTTGTCTTGATCGCTCCTATTCCAGATTGTCCGAACTGACGCCAAAAGCACTCGAGTGAGTTGAGGCTTTCTGAGCTAAGGACAACATACCAAAGAGGACCTTGAAGGAGTGTCTGTTCTGGCCACTAGGAAGGCTAGAGACGCCAAGGCAAGAGTAGTGCAAGCGAGTGGAAGGTAAAAAATCGCATACAAATGGCTGATTAACACGGGCTCACTGACACAACCGAAAGCATCTCTTCACTCGACTTGCCGACTCACTTCTCTGCGAATATCAGCCAGAACATCCAGATATGGCAACCCGGGCTTCACCATGATCATATCAGCGCCCTCTTCGGCGTCACGAATCTGACATGGGAAGGAAGGGAAAATGAGAGGATAAGAGCACAAATGTGATGAAAATAGCAACGAAGAGATGAACATTTGGAAGAGGGAAAGTCGAGGTATGGCATGGCTTAGTTGGAGGGAACGATCATGTCAGGAATGAATCAATCCAAACCAGTCATCGTGTGCCGGACCATTGATGAACAGGAAGATGTGCAGTGCTGACACAAAAGCCGCAATTTGGCCAAAAGTGGTACCATTAGCCGGACGACTGGGCCAGATTAGGCTAAGGTGGCCAGGCCTGGAAACGTCATCTCACCGAGCCAAAGGGTATGGATACTTTAAAAACTGGCCAGTAAAGCCTCTGTCAGTTCACGGGAGATCGCTCCGGCAGGATGCACTAGCCGCTCTCATTCACATTCCAACTTGAAGTATGAAGCGACAGAGAGAGACTTTGTGGAAGGTATTCAAGATGGTGTGGCCTTTTGTGTGGTCGCAGTCTCCTTTCGTTGTATAGAAGTTGCTTGACCTTGTTTTTGCAACATGTTCATATTGGTAGGAAGACTC